CACCAAGAAGATCACTCTGAAAGGACCTAGCCAAGGTCCAAAAATGGGGCAGAAAGGATACAAGGTCCGGGAAGCTCGAACCGGTGACGTTCCGCCGCGACAGTTGAGTACTTAGTGAGCAGTCGAACTAGTTGTTGGGTGTACCTGCAAGCACAACCAAGTCCCGAGGACGATCAAAAATGGGGTGTCTACAGCCATGGACTACCAAGGCCTACCTATACCAAGTGAAAGGTGCATTTGAAATATATGAAATTTATAGAACATATATGCTTAGTGGACATTTGATTTTTGTTAATGAGATCTTCTTGGTATTGTTATGATAGTGGTTAGCTTTCAGTTTTGGCATTTGCATTACTTTTGTGGTTTTGTGAATAAACATTGGACATAAATTGTTATGGACTTTGTGTTGTGGATCGGGGGCACACCAGGAAACACACACAAGCAATAACACAAGAGATTTAACGTGGTTCGGCAAGTCGCCTACGTCCACGGGCAGCGGATTTCACTATATGGAGAAATGGAAGAATTACAATTCACTCTCTCTCTCTCTCTCTGTATTCACTCTTAAACTCACCACACATCCCTCTGCTCTCTCTACCTCTATTTATACACACCAAAGGGAGAAAGCTGGCTGGCCTTGCACATGGCCAGTTGGTCAGTCAAAGGTGAATCATCTTCCTTTGCAGCTTGTCGGTTGGCAGCCGCAATCAAGGACATTGTGTGATGCTTTCACAATGAACAGAATCACCCCTTTCACATGGGGTGATATCAACAAATCACCCCCTCAACCCATGTGAGGTGATTTATTTCATACACTGCTGCTAATCTTGTCACGCCCAAAATTCAACATAGTCTGCATCTCTTGAAGTTAGAGATAATACACCAGAGATACAAGAGGAGGAGGGAATCCTACATCCTCAACTCAACTCACACCACTCTCTGATTTGGAGAGAGCCTCTGCTCCTATCTCTCACAGATCTCTTCCACGCTTCCTGTCTCGGATGTCTACACCTGCTATGCTTGAACTTGCGCAACCAAGATATTCTACGCCCCCTGATTGGATGCCTGCACCCCCTGCTGGGATACCCTTGACTATCATGCCTTTGCCTCTGTCCATAGTGATCGATCAACACTGCCTTGCACCAGAAGGTGCTTAGTTCCGAGAGATGTTGACCAAGTCCAAACAATGTTAGAACTTGATTCCATAAACCACTTTTCTGAGCATATCAGCCAAATTATCTGCAGTACTAATCTTTTGAAGCAGAATATCCCCTTCATTCATAATTTCTCGGATGAAATGGAAACGGACATCAATGTGCTTGGTGCGGGAATGATGAACCTGGTTCTTTGCCAAACAAATGGTGCTCTGACTGTCACAGTACACCTCAACGTGCTTCTGAACAATACCCAAGTCCTCAATCAACCCGTGTAGCCAAATAGCTTCCTTAAAGGCTTCCGTCACTGCCATGTACTCTGCCTCTATAGTAGACAAAGCCACCGTTGACTGAAGCGTTGACCTCTAACTCACCGACCCTTTAGCAAGTGTAAATACATACCCTGTTGTTGATCGGTGTTTGTCCAAGTCACCAGCATAATTTGAGTCCACATATCCAACCAGATTCTGTCCGAGTCGGTTATCTCTCTCGAACTTTAATCCCAGATTAACCGTGCCATGTATGTACCCTAGGATCCAATTCACTGCCTACCAGTGATCGTTTCCTGGATCATGCATATTACCATACTCACAGCATGCGAGATGTCAGGCCGTGTACAAACCATAGCATACATTAATGCACCAACTGCATTTGCATATGGAACCTGTGCCATATGCTTTCGTTCTTCTTCTGTGTGTGGAGACATCGAAGCACTGAGCTTGAAATGAGGGGCCAATGGTGTACTCACAGCTTTTGTTTTCCCATTTATGCTAAATCTGGCTAACACCTTTTTTAGATACTGGGTTTGTGTCAAACAAACCGTGCCCTTCTTCCTGTCTCTCTTGATCTCCATGCCAAGAATTTTCTTTGTTTCTCCCAAATCCTTCATTTCAAACTCTCTTGCCAGCTGTGCCTTGAGTTTGTGAATCTCCACCTTGCTCTTAGATGCAATTAACATATCATCCACATATAAGAGCAAATAGATAAAGGAACCGTCTGGAAGCTTACGGAAATATACACAATGATCAAATTGACTTCTTGTGTATTCTTTCTCTATCATGAACCGATCAAATCGCTTGTACCACTGTCTTGGGGATTGCTTCAACCCGTACAATGATTTGTTCAGCTTACAGGCCCAATTCTCTTTTCCAACAACTTTGAAACCATCTGGCTGGGACATGTATATCTCCTCTTCAAGATCTCCATGTAAAAAAGCAGTTTTGGCATTGAGTTGGGCAAGCTCGAGATCAAACTGTGCAACCAAAGCTAACAAGATACGAATAGACGTGTGCTTCACAACAGGTGAGAATACCTCATTGTAGTCTATTTTTTCCTTCTGAGCATAGCCTTTAGCTACCGATCTAGCTTTGAACCTGATGTTGTCTTTGCCTGGGATTCCTTCTTTCTTGGTGTAAACCCACTTACACCCAATTGCTTTCTTGCCTTTTAGAAGTTGCACCAACTCCCAAGTCTGGTTCTTGTGAAGTGATCCGATCTCTTTATCCATAGCCTCCTTCCAATTGACACTTTTTGCATGTTGCACGGCTTCTTTGAAAGTGCAAGGAACATTGTCTTCAATGATTGGAAGTGCATAGGCTACCATATCAGTCATCCAACTGGGTTGCTTAGTAACCCTTTTTCCTTTTCTGATTGCAATGGGTTCTGACTGTTGTGGGGCCTCTGGATCTTCATTTTCATCTAAACTCTCTTCAGAGTCTTCTTCAGAGCTGTCAACTGAAACTTCTTCAGGATTATTGTCTGTCTGAACAGTCTCAAACTCCACCTGCACGGACTTCTTTAATGCTTCATCATTTTCTTGAGGATTTGGTTGCTTCAGCATTGTAGACTCATCAAAGGTAACGTCTCCTCTAGTGACAACTTTCTTTGATTCAGGGCACCAGAGTCTGTATCCCTTGACACCATCACTAAAGCCCAAGAAAATGGCTTTCTTGGCTCTTGGATCCAACTTAGATTCTGTAACATGAAAATAAGCTGGACATCCAAAGATACGTAGCTGATCATAATCAGTAGTTGGCACTCCTAACCATACCTCCATGGGAGTCTTGCCATCTAGTGCTGTAGTAGGTAGTCTGTGCCCCAAAATGCCTTGCTCAATCCAGACTGTGTCAGCATACACCGGACTTTCTCCACCAAAGTGCGGTTCATGCGTTCTGCAACTCCATTTTGCTGCGGTGTTCCAGGAACTGTGAAATGTCTCACTATCCCTGCATTCTGGCAAACCTATAAGAAGGGATCTAATGTGTATTCCCCACCATTGTCAGATCTAAGCTTCTTGATCTTTCTGTCTGTCTGGGTCTCAATCATTTTCTTCCACAGAAGAAAGATGTCTAAGACTTCATTTGTGTGCTTCATTGTGTAAACCCAAACTCCTCTTGAGAAATCATCAATGAATGACACAAAGTAGTGTTTACCTCCGAACAAAGCATTCTTGGAAGGACCCCATATGTCGGTGTGAACGTAGTCTAGAATCCCTTTGGTACAATGAATAGCAGTACCAAACTTGATTCTTGTTTGCTTGCCCAGTACACAATGCTCGCAGAACTCAAGCTTCCCTGTTTTGGCACCTTTCAACAGGCCTTGCTTTACCAATCCTTATAAAGCCTTCTCAGCGACATGCCCTAGGCGCATGTGCCAAAGTCTGGAAGTGTCTGATGCATCATCTTCTGAGCTGGTGGAGATAGCCATTCTCCCTGTGACTGTAGAGCCGTCTAGGAAATATAAATTTCCTTGTCGAGTACCCTTCATTGCAACAAATGCTCCTCGAACAACTTTGAGGACTCCACCTTCCATAGTTACTCTGTAACCTTTGGAGTCTAAAACTCCCACTGAGATGAGATTCATTGTCAGATCTGGTACATACCAAACATCTTCAAGAATTCTGATTGTTCTATCATGTATCTTCAGTCGAATTGTTCCAATCCCCTTTGTCTGGCAAGCTTGGTCGTTGCCCATCAGCACAACTCCTCCATCGAACTCTTATAAGCTCGAGAACCACTGCTTGCTAAGACACATGTGGTAGGAACATCCGGAATCTATAATCCATTCATCAGACTGGCCATATGATGAAACTATAAAGGATGATCCTTCACCATTATCTCCATCTCGTGCAACGTTCACCTTTTCTTCTTTCTTGTCTTTATTGGGACAATCTTTTGCCCAATGCCCCTTCTGGCGACAAGCAGCACACTCGTCTTTTGCAAGACGTCTTCTATCCAATGATTTCCTTCTAGATTTTGAGCAGACTTTCCTCGCCCTGTATATCTCCTGTTATTTGTTCTGCCTCTGACTGTCAATGCCTCGGATGCTGAGTCCTTGTTTGCATATTTATCTTTCCTTCTGAACTCATTATTTACCAAGGCGTTTGCAATATCAACATACTTGATCTTTTCTTTACCGTACAGTAAAGTGGTAGTGAGATGATCATATGAGTCAGGCAAAGAATTCAACAATAACAGTGCTTTATCTTCATCACCAATATGATCATCCAAGTTTTTCAGATCGGTGAGAATTTTATTGAAATTGTTTAGGTGTTCATTCATCGAAATACCTTTCTTGTAGTCGAAACGAAACAACCTCTTCTTCAAGTAGAGCCGGTTCTCAATGCTCTTTGTCATGAACTTATCTTCCAGCGCCTTCCAAAGCTCCTTCACAGTATCATATTCTGTGAAGGAATACTTCTCCTCTTTTGCAAGGCAAAGTTGGATGGAACTGCAGGCCAGGAGATTTAGTTTCTCCCATTCTATCTCGTCCAGGTCATCTGGTTTGTCTCTCAGAGTGAAGTGCAGGTTCATCTAGACAAGCATATCTTTAACTTTGCATCTCCATATGTCGAAGTTGCTGCTTCCATCAAACTTTTCTACCTCGAACTTAGCATGGGACACCGGGGTCCAATGCCTAGAGTTGCTTGTAGTCGCTGGATTACTTATGGACTCGGTTGATCTGGTCTCTGTAGATTCTGCCATTAAACTGTTTTTTTTTTTAGAAACTCCAATTCAAAAAACTGACCATACGAATGTGTCCGGAATACTTCAAATAGTTGGAAAACATTATTGGATCGTCAAAAACGGACTCCGAATGACTTAGGGCTGGCCAAAACAGTGTGAATGCCTCAGATCTGTGGCTACTGCTTAGCTGCGCAGCACTGGATCACTCTCTACCCCTGTGTTGACTGGTCAACGGAGGTTGACGTGGCTAACATGTGGCGGACACGTGTCTGACTGTCTGACACGTGGCAGATGACCTGGCAGGTGACGTGGCAGTTTGGCTAATGTGGCTACTAACCTGGTAAGCGACAGTCTGGCTGACGTGGCGCCACATGGCTGTTGACGTGGCAGTGACTTGGCAGTGCTGGTGGATGCTGATATGGTAAGTGCGCTGATGTGTCAACGACGTGGCGGCTGAGCTGGCAGTGACGTGGCAGCTTCCAAAAATAAATTGGAAATTTGTTTGGGGGAGAATTTTAAACCCTTGACCTCAAGGCTTCAAACCAAAGGCTCTAACCACTCTGCCAAGTATGACCCTTGTGACATAATTTCCACAAATAAATATTTAAAGTGTTTGGATTGGCTATAGAATGGTCATCTTCAACCTCTGGCCGTGCGTAAGATTCTGGTTCGAAGTTCCGTTTTGTCTGTTCTTTGCTGTTCTGGACTCCTCTCCTCAAGGGCTTCCTCCTGGTATGCTCAAAAGTGGATTTCGAGCACTTTGAAATCTGGGCACTTTCGAAAAAAATTCGATTTTTCACCACTCGAGCTCTGATACCAATTGTTGTGGATCGGGGGCATACCAGGAAACACACACAAGTAATAACACAAGAGATTTAACGTGGTTCGGCAAGTCACCTACGTCTACGGGCAGCGGATTTCACTATATGGAGAAATGGAAGAATTACAATTCACTCTCTCTCTCTCTGTATTCACTCTTAAACTCACCACACTTCCCTTTGCTCTCTCTACCTCTATTTATACACACCAAAGGGAGAGAGCTGGTTGGCCTTGCACATGGCCAGCTAGTCAGTCAAAGGTGGATCGTCTTCCTTTGCGGCTTGGCGGTTGGTAGCCGCAATCAAGGACATTGTGTGATGCTTTCACAATGAAGAGAATCACCCCTTTCACATGGGGTGATATCAACACTTTGTGCAGAGCTGTCGTGATGGGAGTTGGATTAGGACTGCAAATCATCTTTCACAAATACCCCTTCTACTAGAGTCAGAGGATGTAAAAGATGTTAATCAAATTCTATCCGTTCTATTTATGTCAGTCTCTACCAATTTCAGTGTGTTTATTAAGCAAGTTGCTGAAGCCCAAGGGAAGGACGGGCATGTTCATTCAAGCAAAAGGAAGAGGAAAAGGCTTACTACCCAGGTGTCATTTATCTTCTGCTACATATGCTTCCTGTTACTCACCTGTTAAAATTGAAACTTCTTTCCCTTCTCCCTTGTTCTCTCTGACCTCTCCCATTTTATCTGAAGATTATCTTATAATTTAGCTTCTTGTTTTCGGGTTTCAGGGCCAGTTATTAATGCAATTACGGGAGACAGAATTGCATAAGCGAGTCAGCAAATGGATGGATTCTATGAATTCTGATAGCGGATTTGTGACAAGTTCTGGCAATCAGCATGCTTTGCTTGAGATTGCAGCAAATGTGGCTTCGGATGGGGTCAAGCATTCAACATTGAACCCTGGTTCTTCTGGTCGATTACACTCTACAGATTCAGCGGGTTCTTCAAAAGGCAATTATGAAAGTGTCTCTGTTGAAATGAGTGAGCCAGTTACCTGCAGCAGAGAGCAAGGGCCTGGTAAAATGATCCAAACTATGGATCCAAGTCCAAGTGGCTGCAGTGTAAACAATGGCCATTTAATTGGCAATGATGCTCTAACGATGTTGTTGTTGGCCCTACCCTCTCATATGTGGTCTGGAATTAAGGAACCAAACCTATCTGCAGAGTTTAACAGCCTTGTATCAATTGGGAGTGTTCCTCACATACTCAAGAAAGAGGTAACAGTTCTTCCTTTTCTTGTTTCTTACTTTCTTTGATATTATATCTCACTTGCATTAATTGGTTCCTTACTGTGTTCTATTATGTCTATGCTGGAATAACAAAGAATCTCCAACATTGTGGGGTTGCTTGAATCTTCAAATATTTACAAATGAGGTCTAGTATTTCCAACATACATCCTCAACCTGATCCTTTAACTAGGAAGAATGGATATGGATACGATATGAATGCGGCGATACGACAAAATTTTAAAAAATAGGATATGGATACGGTTAGGATATGTTTATAAAAAAAATATTTTAAAAAAATTATTAGTAGTCAGTTATGCATGAGCTCAAGAATGTTGAGAAATCATACTGTAATTAAATAATACAAAATACTAATCTTTAATAATTAGATATTAATTTAAGTTGGTAGCTAGTTTACTTCTTTTAACTTTTAATTGGTCTTACAAATATTTCATTTCAATATCAAGTCTAGTAAGTTTTTATTACAATAATAGAATAGCGATATTTAATTTTTATTTTATTTTCTAATTGACATGCATGGCACAATAAGAATAAGTCGATTTGACAAATTAAATTACTTTACTTCACTATGTTCTTCTTATCAAAGAACTAAGAAAAGTATTAATTTATTTTATTTTATTTTATTTTTTTTGTATTTATCCTCACACTTATAATATATTATAATGCTATGCAATAAATACTACAATTCTAATTTTGTGAAAGTAATACGGGACTTGGAGTATCCGATTCTTCAAAATTAATTAAGAAGTATTCGATACTTTTAGTAAGTATCCAATACATATCTGTGAGTATCCAAGGAGTATCGGTATCTGATACAGATACGATACGGATACGTTGCCTTTTTAGAAGTATCCGTGCTTCATAGTCCTTTAACCTTGTTGATTCTTGTGTTCCTTAGTCTCCTCTTATGCTATCATTCAATTGAAAATTGAAACCTGATTCAATGGTCTATTATTGTTGTGTTCCTTAGTCTCCTCTTATGCTATCATTCAATTGAAAATTGAAACCTGATTCAATGGTCTATTATTGTGTCTCTAGATCTTTTTAATTTTTTTTGATTTAATGAGTTCGTTGGCTTGAGAATGCATGGTTAATATTCTATGTGATCTTTGGTGTGGTGTTGTATTTGGTGGCCGAATCTGGTGCATTTTCAGCATGATGAAAGACTTCATTGAAAAAAGAGAAAAAACAAACAAACTAGCAAGGAAGAAAAAGCCTATCCTTTGCAGATGACTCTGTAGAGCTAGTAGTATATGCTTTTATAATTATAATATAATGTTATGTAAAAATGCATAGAAAACATGTTGTAATAGATGATATAAGTTTCTTGTTTCGCTCAATGAATTGCTTCTCTTGAAACTTGAAGGTGAGTTTTGCTCTCTCAAATTCTTAAGAGGTAGAAAGTAGTTGAGTTCCTTATTTTTGGACTGCTATAATTACTATGCCTTTACTTCTTGGACCTCATATTGATACTGATTACTAACTGAAGCCTGCTCACATTTTGCACCTTAGCTGTGCTTGTGATTTTTATTTAGGTAAATTGCATAAACACTCCCTGGGGTTTCTAACAAATACCGGGACACCCTACAGTTTTCTGAAATTACTAGAAAATCCCTGTCAAAAACTAAGGGTTGACAGATGTTACAACGTGCTTGATTTTACTTGTTTGCCCTTGTACCAAAAATGATTATTTCAGCATTAATGTTAGCATTATGCCAAAATAAAGGGCTGTCTTGTGATTTGCTCTCCTCCAACTCTACCATGAATGGATACTTATGTCTGCAGAACAATTCAAGAGTATTATTAGCATTACACAATTTTTGCCAATGACAGCATCTTTCCTAATGATTGAGCAACCAAGGGGTTGTTTTTGCATATTGTTAGTTGAAGTATTAGGTGTTTCTCAATTTTCAAAAAATTCAGGGGTGTCGATTTACTCAAGGTGGCAACCCTTTCCTAACAGTTCAAGGTTTTGGGACTAGGGGTGATCAAACAGAGATGACATGCTTCTTTTTATTTATTTATTTATTTAACAAAGGTGATGTGCTTCTTTGTACTTGATTTTCTACAATTTTCATTTGATGTACTTTTTCATACATGGAAATCCTTATATTATTGTTATCTAAGCAAATGTCATTCAAACGTATCATTAGTGGCAAATTTAATTGTGTTAGTGTTCTATATATTAAGTGATTTTTATGCAATTTGATAGGGGTGTACTTGGTTCAGTTTGTTCCAGTTTTGAGGTAAATTAAAAACAGAACCGATTTCAATAGTTTCAAAAATTTAGGGAACCAAACCAAATCATGTAAATTATGGAATAGAACCAAACCAACCAACCCTGTGGAAAGCGGTTTGGTTTTGATTGATAACGATGATTCCAATCCTAAGAGCGTTCCACAAATTATATGTTAAAAACTTGCCTTAATATTTTCTCTCAAATTTCTTTTGTTTTTTTTTTCTTTTTACCTCCTTTCGTTTATCTTTTTTTTTTTATAATCTTTCTTTTAATATTATGCTTTATTAATCATCTCTCACAGTTCTAAAAACATTCTTTATCTATGTAAACATATATTAATCTTTCTAATCTTTATCATTTGGAGATTGTTGTTAGTTGCTGTCTGATGATGTTAAATGATGCTGATTTAGAGTTCTAATTTCTGTTCATGCCAAACACAGGTGCTGAGATTGTGTCAACAGCTCGAGTTTCTTATGATGGATATTGGTTCAAATGCTGTGCATAAGGGGCTAACTACAATATCAGACTAAAGTACACTGAAAGAGCCATGGTTCAAGAAGTTTACTATGTATGAATGATTTATACTTTAAATTTAAAATTAAGTTATTACTATTTTAGGTTGGAAATTGGTATAATGTTGTATGTATATATATATATGCATTTTTATTTTATTTTTGGATGACATAAACATGGTATATATAATTTATCTAATATACTAGGTTTATCATAGTGGGATTTTGCTAGGGCTACATTATTTAATAGTATTTTTATAGAGGGTATTTTTGTCATTGCAATGGCAATATTAACACTATTGAATGCAATTTGGAGGCCCATGTAATTACAGAAATTACAGGAGAGGTTTGTGTAATTATCAAATACCTCAGAGAGGTCTATGTAATTAGCCCTATAAATAAATAAAATAGAATTTTATTTTTGTAATATGTTGATAAATAAATTTAAAATCCAACTAACAGTTATTATTTTATATATTAATTTCCATGATGATTATGGGATTATGGATGGAGTTTGAAGATGGGTTTGGCTTCTTTCATGTTGATCATAGGTTCTGTTTCGATAATCCGAATCGTTCACTTTTTAGTATTCGTTGAGTAGAATATTAATATAAAAAATTAAGATGGATCCCTCAAATTCTTTCATGTTAAGATACCAACATGAGAGAAATCCAACTCTAAAACAAATATGATTCAAATATATAGCTAGTGATGTCCAATCATCTAGATTTTTTACATGAATATTCTACTCAATGAGTCCAAAAAAAGTAAACGATTCGAATTATCGGAATTGATTTCAAAATGGGCCTACTAAGTATAACTGTGGGAGAGTATTTTGTGAATGATAGCACGTGGCTAAGGTGACATCGGAGTGTTAGTCGAGGTGCCACGTGGCCTGGTCACGTTGCCGAGGTGATCTCGGTGCCGAGGTGATCTCGGCTAGGTCGGGGTTATCTGCGGAGATACCAGAATCCGAGATAAGCAGATAAGGGACAAGAGTCCTAGAACATGGGAGGGTCTTAGTTTGGATAGCGATAAGGCTCAAGAAGAGTTTATCTTTATCTAGCTAAGGGTCTAGGATGAGCATGAAGCATGAGTCCTATGGAGTGAGGCTTCTAGCGGAACTAGGTCACTGCTGATTATAAAAGCAGCGCACCCTCGTGGGTCTAAGGTAAGTTCTTTCTTGTGAGATTAAGCACAATTTGCTATCTTTGAGAGATATTTGATTACTGACTTGATCGTCGGAGTGCCCACAGGTGGACGAACCATCGCCAGATTTTTATCTTTCTGTGACAGGTTGTTTGGACTTAATCTATTTTGCCAGTGCTCTCCAGCTGAGTTCCCCATTTGGTTGTGTGGTCGGAAATCAACACCCACAATAACCACTCTCTCAAATTGAGATGATAATTTGAGGAAAACCAAACTCTTTTAAAATATTATTAAAGGTATCTTAGGAATACAAAATTACACTTGACATGAAGAAAAACAAATGCTTCATTATGCTAACTCCATTATGTTAATGGGTGTACTGTTAAATTTAAAAAATATAAATTTTAATTTTAATTTAAAAATTTACATATTGTCTATGTAGACACCCCATTTTTGACCGTCCTCAAAACTTGGACGTCACCGTTTGAACACTCGGTGATCATCCATGTTTGTGTTCGTTTGGAGTTCCCGGAGGTCTCGGCTACGCGCCTTGCCTCAGGATCTCTGAATTCGACCGTTTAGTGTCTAGTTTGGCACCAAACACTTGTGTTTTGCCTTTGGGAGGCAGGGTAGGGCTTGTAGACCATCCCCACCCACCGCCGGCAGTGGCTAGAGATCACCGGTTGGTTTTTGTCTCCACCGGCAATATAGTTTGCCGGTCGGCATATTTTATTGCCGGTCGGCACTCTTTTCGGCCAAAATGGCATTTTTGGCCGGTCGACTACTGTGCATCTGCTTTTGCAGATATTTTAAGACAGCTGTCTTACTTTTTGCTCCCCTCCATACACGTGTATGGAGGGATCTCCCTCTTATGAAGCTTGTCTTGTAAGCTTTACAAGACAAAAAGCTTCTATAAAGAGAGGGGCTCTCTCTTGTTGCAAAGGTTGGAGAGGTTAGAGACTTGAGATATTTTGGAGGGCTTAGACAACCATTGTTAGGGTTTGAGTTCTAGGGTTAGGGTTTGATACACTTCCTATCTCTCTTTTTTACCCTTGTGTGTGTAAAATTGTGTTTTAGTCCATACTATTGCACACAAACACATAGTGTTTCACCTTCACTTAGCT